CGTAAGCTTGGCTCTCGGTGTTCCAGAACAAGTCGGTCAAGCATCTTCCCAGCACTAAAAACGTTGTCCAGGCAAAACAAATACTCATGAACAAAATAAACTTCACCATGGCATTCGCACCCTGCAGTAGCGGTAAGTTGGGGTAAATTCCTGTGCATACGTAGATTATTTCTTCCCAGAGGAAGAACAAGAAACAGACGGTTAATGTACAGAAGAGTGACGGGGCCCACGGCGAATTGGTGCATTTGCAAACTAGCAAGTCCAGTAACAGGAAGATGATTCCGTTAAAGTACAGCATAAATACCAGCCACATGGGACGCTCGAAAATCACGGGTTTCCCGAGAACTAAAATACGAACTGACAGTATAATTATAATTGGAAGGCAGCTCGCGTAGCCGCAGGGGAAGGCGACGGCACCCCGGACGAACGCTCGCATCGGAACCAAACGGGCCCATTTTTTTTTCATATTCTTGTTCCATAAAGAGATATCTGTGATGAAAGCGAACAAGTTGTAACCGGCTTGGATGATTGCGTTTATTGAAGTCATGTACTTGAAATTGTAGGCGAAGCTCTTCACACGGTCGTTTTCTGTGGAAATCGTTTCGTAATAAGTACGACAGACGACTGCGACGACGAAATGGACAAATACAGCCAAATGGAGAAACGTCGACAAACTGAGAAAAAATTTTGGGTTCCGCTTTTCCAACGGTTCCTCCATTTTTCTTGCTTCTACTAATCAAATTCTTAATATGACAAAAAATTTATAACGTAAATATATACCCTAAGAACTTATGTTTCTTTTTATTAATCATGTGTTTTATGGGTATTAACATATGAAGAACGACATGAAACAATCTATGTTTCATTCCATGGTTTATCGAACATCAAGAAAAATAATTGTACTTTCATTTATGACATATTTGGACTACAATGCACACTATTCTTCCTTTTCGGGCCAATTAAAGACCTGTAACCCTATTTGTTGAACAATCCTTTCCACATTGAGTTCTTCCTTTTTGTCGATCAAGTATTACGACATTTCCTAGTCAAGTGGCTTCGCCCAATTTTAAATCTCATGTGTAATTTTGGATTTGTTTGAATTGTTTTCCCTCAGTATTTTAACCAGTAATTTAATAATTCTATATTATATTGATTTTAATTTCCGTCCGACAACCAAAAACTATTTTTCAACTTGGAAGAGTAAAGAATCGACATATTTACTTTCAGTGCACTCTAACACGTTTAACATTGATTTCGACTTTTTAAAGGACTCAGAAAGAGTAATGGTTATCAAACACCGGTTCAAAAAAGCTCAGCGTGAGGACACCCAACTGTACTTTAGCAAAAGCATTTTAGCAAAATGTTTGTTTTCCGGGCAGATGTGTCATTCTTGTGCGTCATGTTGAGAGTGCCAGGGCAAAGTGCTCAAAGAAGCCGACTCCTCGTATAAAATATTTTTTAATCCCGACTTCTTTCCCCACCCCTTCAAAATCCAACGTATATATACATAAAACAGCAATATCTCACTGGCACTCTCAACACGACACACAAGTATGACATATCTACACGGAAAACAAACACTTTGAGCCCTGATGATGATCTCAATAAAGATCGATACGTTGGCATGATAAAGAAAGTGTTTTTCAAATAATGATTAACTAACGGTCACACAGGAAAAGCCATGCTTCTCTTTAAGGTGAAACATTTCCGGACAAACTATCTCCTCAATTATCCCCATTCTTTTCAACTAACCCTTGACAGGGATGTTTTCTCCCAGTTTCCCCAGAGTTCACAGTTTCAAGCCTAACTTTCAGAAAGAGAAATTTATTCGTTCATAGGAGAGATTAGCTAGATTATCATTATAAAATAAAGATAGGATATCAGTGTACCAACGTAGATCCTGGATAAGCCCTACTCAACATATATCTGCTACGACAAACGAAAACAACATAGGGCAAAGGGACTCTCCTTGCAAAACCTCCTCAGTGCTGTTAATGCTTTTGAGAGCAGTTAACTCAGACGCGGAATTGTGCTAAGTCATATATTTCAGAAAAAATTCTAATTATTGTTATTCAGATATCGTGGGGTGCGGTCGGGTGTGATGTAGGTTTCAGAAAAACATTTTCTTTATCGTGCCAACGTTTCGATCTTTTATTGAGATCATCTTCAGGGCCTGGGATTTACAAACAATGTTTACATTTAACAAATACATTTAGGATGTGGATAAGTGAATTTATACAATGCAAAATATATTTTATATTCAAACAAAGTATTTCTACTCACTCAAAGTGTTTGTCTTCTGTGTAATTGTGCCATCCTTGTGTGTCGTGTTGAGAGTGCCAGTGAGATTTTGCTGTTTCATGTTTATATATGTTTGGTTTTGAGGAGGTGGGGAAGGAAGTCGGTATATAAAAGACAATTTTGTGCAAGGCGTCGGCTCCTTTGAAGTGAAAAAAGCCGACAAAGGGGAACAATGTGTTGGTAATAGTTCGGCCAGATTATTCTTTCAGGATTATATAGAAAGGGGATAAATAGGAAAAGGAAAGCTAAATTGTTGGAAAATTAGACTATGTAAAAAGTATTTGATGTGTGGAATGTAATGTAATGATGTATGTATGTTATTTGTATTGTATTTGATTAATGATATTGGCGTAGCTGCGACTGAGTTTGCATGTATCTGTTCTGTAATTGATGCTGTGTTTATCTCTGTTGATATAAACCATTTCTAAGAAATTACGTTTATATTTGTTTTGTTCTGTATGTAATATTTTTGGATTTTTGAAGTCAAAATTGTGTTGGTGTTCAAAGTGGTGGGTAGCGAGTGCTGTAGGATTTTGCTTGGGTTTTTTGCAATCATAGATATGTTGCTTTACTCTCTTGTCCAGATATTGGGATGTAAGACCGATGTAAGTTGCCGGACAGTTCAAACAGTTGATCTTGTAGATTACGTCAGATTTATTTGTTATTGGTGTGGGATCTTTAACTTTGGAAAAAAGTGTTTGGATTGTTTTATAATTTTTGAAAGCTATTTTGAAGTTACTAATCTCTACACGTTTTGTCCAAAGTTTATGACGATTCAACGAATCAAATACATATTTGAGTTCGTTAAATATACTGGTGTACAAAATTAACGCACCATCCTTAAATTTTAATGTATTTAGGTTTATTCATATTTTGCATAAAAATAGACCTTCACCGAAACATAAAACGTGCTCTGCGGTAGTGCCTGCCAGTAATTCTTTTGTATATTTTGCGGCTGGTCCTTATATGAATCTCTTTGCGTGCGTCATACCTGTGATATTGTTCCATCAGGTTTTGGTCTCATTAAGGAAGAATCCATTTTGAGATGTATCCTCTTGTGAGGCAGAATGCCAAGCCACAATAGAACTGAGGACCCCAAAGAGTCTATATTGGCCATTTGGCCAACATGTCAACCCCTTCGTTGCTTCTATGCCCGGAGTGCCCAGGATCAGCTCATTAGTGTCAAGGCGTTCATGCAGTTCCAAACACTCCTCTCGCCTGAGGCTAGGGCCTTTACTGCTTCCTGACTGTCAGAGAAGATGGCTCTTATTTTGTAATAGTGTCATCGATTGGCGTGCCTAATATGGCATCTGCCTGTATGCCTGTTTCCATTGTTTTTTTACATGCCCTATCCTTGAGGATGGTTGTTCATTTATGAACCCGTGGGCTGCTGCCAAAATTATATGAAGTGGTGGGAGGTTTAACAACACTTCCAGGGTCGCAGTTGGCGTTGTGCCATAGCTCCAGTGATACTAAGTCAGGCTTGTCTTTGGGTATTCCACTTAATAACCTGATTGCTTTGGCATCCTTGAGGAAAGTGCTTAAGCTATTTTCCTGCCAAATTTCAATTGTCAAGTCAAAAAGTGAGGTGTTGGTTAATCTACATTTCATAAAACCATATTAGGATGATGACGAATCATCCGAAGATCATGCTAAACCAGGGGTGCTCAAACGGTCGATCGCGATCGACCAGTCGATCGCGAGTGCTTTTTGAGTAGATCTCGAGAAGAAAAAAATTTTTAATAAGTAGGTAGGTAACTAAACTACAAAAATGTATTACGTAATAAAATAACACTGCTTGCGGCAAAAGGTGGCTTTATCAAAGGAACGCGCGGCACTTGTCAAAGAAAAGCCGCGTTGTTTCTAGACTAGTAGACAGTACAGTCTAGTCTAGAAACAACGAGAGACAGTACAGTCTAGTTTCGGGCGGCGCGTTTGACGGGAACATTCGAGACTTTCGTTCACGCCGATATAAATGTTGTGCCTGCAGGAATTGGAGTCATTCTGAATTGTAACTTGATGGCGATACTACGTCGATACAAAGTTTATTATTAAATA